ATATATTGGCATGTTTTAAAATGTTTGCGATTCAAATATGAGCTTGTCTGAAAAATATACAGGGTGAGTCGGGAGGAGCGCACCAAACTCTAGGAGTATATTATACACGTGAAAATAATGTAAAAAAACTCATATGTTCTTATCCGATTTTCATTTGTTTTCAAGTTATGGCGTAATTAAAAATGTTCATCTAGCTTTCCACTTCTGAATTTTAACATTATCAAAGTATGCCATATGTTCAAGACTCAAAGGCATTTGATAATTTGAATAAGTATCTGGCATTTTGCAACACTAACAATCACGTAAATTCGAAATTAAACGTTCAATTACTGTTCACTGTACACTGACAGTTCATCAAAACGTCAGAATTATCAAATGCCTTTGAGCCTTGAACATATGGCATACTTTGATAATGTTAAAATTCAGAAGTGGAAAGCTAGATGGACATTTTTAATTACGCCATACAAATGAAAATCGGATAAGAACATATGAGTTTTTTACATTATTTTCACGTGTATAATATACTCCTAGAGTTTGGTGCGCTCCTCCCGACTCACCCTGTATACATATATACAAAGTTTTATGCAGCATGCTGACTTGTCGTGGTTAGGTTATTAATATTTCACAATGTATGCCAATCGTCGCAGCGTTTCTGGCAAATCAATAGTTTCCTTAACATATTTGGTGTTCTCGATCCTCCTATCCAAATCACAATATTTTTTGAGCCTTTTTGGTGTGCCAACATTAGCTCATATTGTTAAATAATTATATTATAATGAATGGAGTCGTCATGTAGGATAGTAATTATCTCAAATATATTTGGATGGACTTTTTTGCATTTTTTGTTCAGTCTACTATGCCAAGCTTCAGCGACGTTTGTGGTTCGATGGCGACTGCGGAAACACACCCAATATCTTTAAGAGTTTAACCACTCTTTAACAAAGTAATCGTTAAATTTAATTATCTTTTCCATATTCAGATAGTTCTCCATAATTGTCAACCAACCTTCGTCAATTTGGTGGGGAGGTAAATGTGCCAGAGCAGCACACATTCTCAAATGCTGGCTTACGTCTTCCCTTTCTCTATACCCTACTGAAAGTCCAAGCTTTTGAATTTTCCTCCAGAGTGCTTGGTTGAAGTGAAAATTACAACCTTTTAGTTTCACTAGTTTCAGGAAATATTTTTATAATTCCGTTAAAGGCAGCTTTTTCAAAGTCTAGATGGAATTCTACTGGTTTGAAAGCTGGCACTTTTTCTTTTAAAATTGTAAAAAGTCTTGCATATGTATTTTCGCTCTTATCCGGTAACAAGGCATATATAATCGGGACAACACAAGTTCTTTCCTCAGTACTTCCCATATCCATGTAAATACCATAAAGGTGTTGGAATACTGTGGGTCAGCTTTTAAATGTCCCATCACCGAAAAAAACTTTTCCTTGCCTTATTAATTGTTCGGCCTCATTTGCAAAGATTAAAATTCTATCTTCACTCTTGCAGTCAAAAAATAGAATTTTTTTATAATTTTCAGGAATTGTAATTTCCATTCGGGTTTTTGGTAGTATTTCGATCCCTAAAGCTTTCTGTCGAGCAGAATACAATTGTTTCTGACAGAATTGAATATGGGCACTGTGGTAACAAAATCAAGTCCTTTATTCTTCACATTTTAAAACTATTTACAAAATAATAGGATAGTTATTCCAATAGTTTGAAGTCCATCAAAATATTTGTATTGATCATCTAATTTAGCAAACTTCGTTAGTTTCTTGTTGCAGAGACGAGAACAAGTCTGTTGATCTTAAATAATTCGTAGTTTTATGCCTTTTACTTTTTAAATCATTGTGTATCAAAAAATTTACGTTTTAAGAAACAAAGAAAAAAGAAAGGAAGAAAACATGTGCAGAACGATCGAGTTGATCAACCCAATGCTCTATATAATTATAAACAGTGGTTATTAAAAAATGTATAAAAAAAATTGAGTTTCAAATACAGATTCGTCTTTTCAATACTGATTAATTTTTCAGTTTGTCCGCGTTTGGCCAAAATGTGTATTCTGTATCAACATTTTTGGATCGATAAATGTTAAACAATATAAATCATGGCCATTTTACTCAAAAATTTTATAGTTCAGATACATTTTTGATCACCTCCATTCTGTTCACTACCGTAAAAGGAGTTCCCATCGGCTAAGAATCGTTAAAATGACAGAATTATTCAGAAAGTACTTTAAAAATAAAATACAATAGTTTTCAACAATGTTGTCTGATTCAAAGAAAATTCTTTAACAATCAAAATTATAATGTAGAATACGTAATGAGCTACGCATTGTTAGTTATTTATTATTTATCATATATTTTTACTTAGTAAAGTTTGAATATAAGTTTAAAATAACATTTTACAAGCGTCTCTTTCAACTTTGGTTAAAAGACATATACTCTTAGGTACCTATAGGTATACTTGTATATACAATAAAACATTGGTAGGTAGTTATAACTTATATTAAGTTTTAGCTATATTATAATAATTTCTATTATTATCATTATTATTCTTGTACAGTGAAGGAATTTCATTAAATATATTTAGCAACATGGTATGAATATTAGGTTCAAAATTTTCAAATAAATTACACCTTTTTAATTTTAAATAGAGTAGCATAGCGTTGTCACGTAGTGTTGCCACATTTACAATAATTATCATTTTATGCGATAATTTTGGAATTCTTTACAATGTACGATTGAACATGGACATGTACGATAAGATCAAAATATACAATAATTTTACAACATGCTTCAAACGATTTCTTCCAATAATTTAATTCATTCTCACTAATATATACCTACCTATACAGACATCGGCATCCCAATCAGGGCAACTTACAAAAAATTGCGTAAGCTTCAAATCCACGCAAATTATAAAATCTACATTTCTTAACCTGTATGGAACAAGAAAAAAATACATTCGCTGATGAGGTCGATGTCAATTTTTCCGATTGGGTTATCGGTAATTTAACCTGTCGGACAATTGGTCTGTCGGTAAATTGGCATATCTGTAAATTGTCCTATCTTTATATTGTCCTTATTGATTTAGCGCCTGCCAGCTGTGGTATACAAATACATGGGAAGTTTATTTTGGCTTTTATAGGTATGCCGACTTTCCTTGTATAGCCACATAGCCAAGAAATTAATTGCAGGCGACTCTGCTTGACTACAGATATCGATATACAATACTGAACCTGTCAAGTCGGTCCGGTAACTGATGAGATAAGATGAGATTATTTTAGATGAGATCAAAACTAAATAATGTAAATGTAATCCACGCGAGCGAAATCGCGAGCTAGTTTTCCCCGTAAATTATGTACAGCTGTACAATAAATTATATCATATTAATTAAGATGTTATATCTTTACAGAAAAACCGTATTCCAGTTTTGCTCTCATCAGAAACGGTTCGAATTCGAAGGTCATTTAGCTGTTATTAAATGTATCTATTCAAATATTACAATAACATATTAATTTTATATGTTGGAATTTTCACTTTCCATAAAATAATATATAAATCGCATGAAATCAATGCTTTAAATGGAATTATTCAAATTTTATACCTGATGGTTTGGCGTTAAAATGCTCGTTTTCGTATCAATTTTCATCTATTAATTCAATTCAATACCAAATTAAAATTCATTTAAACAAATATTAATGTTTTATTTCTTTAATTATTGTAAAGGGCAAAAAATGTATAGACCGATAGTATTATATATACTTAATTTTTAACACATTAGCTGCTATAAGGAACACCGGTGATCCTGTTTTTAATTGTCCCATTAGGATAACCGATATTTCTGTATAGGGTCCTTTCAGCATTATTATAACGTTTGACATAGTTAGGATGTATAAATAGTTTTTTTAGCAGCACACAAGGAACCCTATAGCTTGCTTATACGTATGTGCGCGTGCGAAAAAGCCTTAGAGCGTACGAGCACTGAGTGACCAGGCATATTTGCGACAGTGATCGCATCAAAGCGACCAAGTTTCTAGTTTCAAAATAAATATCGAACAAGTAGTAGTTCCTTAAATTTGTCTGTCTTCAGTGCGATACCTACTACTTAACACAATCTATTGTTGGTCGCGGCGAGCGGGTTTTCGTTGGTAGTCTTGATCTCTTGGTCGTGGTCGCTGGTCGGTAATGCGCTATGTATAATTAACATGAATGGTTCTAGAGGTAGCTATGACCCGGCCGTCGCGACCTGGTCGCCTAGTACGCGCACGTTCTTATCACATTTCTAAAAAATAAAAAAATATTAAAGTTTTAGTGAAATCTTTAGAAAAAAGTCCTCACGCAGCCCCCCCTTATGCTGCTGCCGTACAAGACCATAGTATCAGATAAGCAGGCCGGACGTAGTTACGGATTTTAATACGGTTTGGTTAATTCAGTAGATTAGTTTAAGTGCTGATACTCTATTTTAAAGTGAGTTTTTTTATTAAAAAAAGCTTAAATATTTTAATTTCTTCGTAGAAGAAATGGTTTTCCCAGTTCAAATAGTATACCAGAGCTTGTTCAGATTTCTCCTCTTTGTGAAGCTGACTATAACAGTTTTCCGAGAGTTTATAGATATCTGCCCCCTATCACAACTACTGTTAGCCATGTTAAAGGATATGGCAGGTTATCTCTTCGCACTTTTCCCTTGAAAGTATACCCTCTGCATAGAGAAATCGTTTAATAGGTTTTCATTCAGTATGGGACGAGAAAAGGAAACTCAATCTAAAAATTAGAACATAGACTCAGCACATGAGAACTCAACCCAATAATAACACGTAGTAGATGCGGGATGAACGTTGGTGTTTATTGTTTCCATAGTTTTAAGCGAAAATAATACTTAAATATTTTTGATAAAAGAAGCCAAATAAAAATAGTATTTTCTTCCCTTTTCATTCATTAATTTGAATTGGTTTAATTTTTGTAAAACGAGGAAATATACTTCAATTTTTTTTTTTTTTTTTTTTTCAGACGAGTCAGGATGCGAGGCTGACATGGCAGAAGGCAGCGTCGAGGAAGACAGTAGCGAAATGTTAGGTCCTACTCTAGTCCCTGTTCTCCATAGCATGCACACCCCAGCTCCTTCCAATTTGAGCTTTAAAGAAGAGGAAGACGTAAGTATTTAATTCAGATCTAAGTTTAAGACTATGTACTTTTATTTTGTTGAAGGAACACGATCATGGTATATTCTTAACTATTTTAATAGGGGTAGAGTGGATTGCCTTTTTTTAAACTCGTATTGATGTTTGTCTAGTTCAATTTTTTTGTATTTGTCTTTTATATTTTTAATCTGATAAAATGCTTCATACACAGGGTGGTCAAACAAAAGCATAGCAAAGCCATTATTAGAAACTACGTCATCATTTTAGACAATAAAAATTAACGGGTCCAAGCGTTGTTTTTTTTTCCAAATCATACGTTATTCGTCTTCGCCACTCTAACCAATACAATTTAAATAGGGGAAGGACCAAGTGTAATACATTATTAAAAAGGTAATTTAATGGCGAGTTCAGGAATATAACTATCCAAAAAATTGCTTTCGATTTTAGCGCCTTTTAGCGGGATTAAAAATGTTGCCTACGTATTGTAAATTGTGACACTTCATTTTAAAGTAATTTAATGTGTATCATATTATTTTGATTGATAGCGATTAAGGTTTATATTAATGTTTGAGCTATGTAAACTATTTCAAATATTTAACTTCATGTTTTATTCAATTATGTTGGGCCTTAAACTATTAATAACATAAGCTTTTAAAGTAGGTTTTAGTTTTAATCCCGATAGAGGGCGCTAAACTCAAAATTTACACAATTAATAATGAATGCTTAATAAAATTACGTTTTTAATTAGGTGTCATACTTGGTATTTTATCTATTTAAATTGTAATGGTTATAGTGATAGAGGAGGGGAGGATACAATTTTGGATAATCGGCATATAGAGAGCAATATACCCCTAAACCAGTCACAAAGTCTTTTATAAATAGTTGTCCAACATGACTTTTCAATAAAGTTATCATATTATATTTAGTACGACTCATCTAATCAAAAATTGTTTAGAATATGAATTTAAGATAAAAAAATTTCAAACACATTTGATTCTTTTTTTTTATTTGACACCTTATGGTGTCTGCCATTAAAATTAATCTCATGGACTAACCATTAATTTTGTTCTAAAACAATCTTAAACTAAGTACTTATCAACTAAAGCCAATCCATCGATCTTTATTATATTGTTCTGCTTTCACACATTCACAACATACTACATGAGATTAAATGACTTAGTCCATTTCAATCGCTAGATATGGTCATTATTTTTCAGCAGCTGCAGAGCTTCTACATTACCATGTAGGAGAAGTCTGACTTCATTCTTCCACCAAACCTTTTGATTTATCCGTTCACTGTTGAATTTCCTAGGTCTCGATGAAGATCTGCATTGCGCAGATACCAAGGAACGTTCACTATTAGTAGATTATTATTTTAATATGTACTGACCATTTGGAGTTTCTTTTCAAGAATCTGTAATTCTATTAAAGTTCTGTTCTTTTCTTTTTAACATGTATTTTCTATTGTAACTTGGCATCAAGGGTCGTTCCAAAGTTCATTGAATTTAGCTCTTAAGGTACAATCTTTCCGTTGATATTCGGAGATAAACATTCTGCTATTTTTTGTTAGTGAGATTTACATGAATATATTGCAGTTCATTGATTCTAATTCTTCATTGATGGGTTCATCTAACTAGAGAATTGCTAGCAGTTTGAAATTTTATTACTGATCTCTCTTGGGCCTGAGTCCTGATGAATTACAAAGAGAGCAGTATCATCAGCAAATGTAGCTACAGTCATATATGCCAGAGTTGGCAAGTCACTTGTCTAGGGGAAGTATAAAATGGGCCCAAAACCCTTCCTTGAGATACTCCAGCTCTTATTTCTTTTGAATTAAAATATTCGTCTTTCTGTTTGATTCTCAAAAGCATGTCTGAGATATATCCATTTTATCAAATTCATATTAACAACTTAGAACAAGTCCAAAGTCGATTTTTAAAACTGTTAAGTTTCAAAATTGATGGTGTCTACCCTGCGATCGGAACGCCTCATAATTCTCGTTTGCAAAGACACGCAGTTAATAGCTTGTCAGCTCGCCGTTCTTGTAACTCTGTGCTGTTTCTATTTAAGTTACTGACTAATAAAATTGATGATTCCGCCATATTAGAAAGGATTAACTTTCATATTCCTCGATTTTCGGCAAGGTCTGCATGCACTTTTTACCTTACAGTGCCTAGAACAAATGTTTTAAAAAGCTCTCCCATTTATGTAATATGTGAATGTTCTAACGAAATGTGCAGTAATTTAGACATCTTTAATTGTATTGTAAGTAAAATTAAGAATCATTTTCTCTTATATTAGCTTGTAACTCTTGTTCTTATTGTAACCTACTTACTTTTGAATTTTGTTGTTCAGATTGTGAATTTTTTTTTCTTGTAATCCTGTTCTTTAATTAGGTTTCCTGTTGAACAGTGTATTAAATAAATAAATAAATAAATAAATATGACGTTATAATCTATCTCTAAATATTACTTCGAGAGCATTTGTTTTAGTTTGTGAACGAAACCTTCATGCCACCTTGTCAAAACTTAAGCAACTTCTAAAAATACTGTAGAGCAGCCTTGTTTTCTGTTAAGGGCATACTTTATGACATCTATAATTCTATTCACTTCATCAATAGTAGAATGATTTTGTCAAAATCCGAATTAAAAATCAGGTATCAATTTTGAATCTTCTAGTAGAAGTAATTTTTTAAATATTTTTATTTAAAACATTTTTTCATATCTTCATTGCCAACGAAAATATTGAATATTCGAATTTTGTATCTTTCCTAAATTTTATTATTCCAGTCCATTTTAGAAAAATCGTGTATATGATATCACAAAAAATCTTGAAATATTTTGTTCTCCAATCACTTATAGCAAAAATATACCTTAAGTACAAAAACTCACCTCTATAAAATATCTTCTTAATCATCGCAGGATAGATTAAAGGTTAAATTTAATATTTGGTATTTTTTCTCTGTCCCTTTTTAAGTTATCGTGGATACAGACATACATCATCGAAAAAATGGTCAAAACGGATTCATGTTTCCCTAGAACAGAAAGATCCGTCGAAAACTTGATGTATACTTTCTACTTTGGGGTACACCTAACGTAGCAACCTAGCTTTTTGAGATATACCTACAACATTTTTTAAACATACTTACTCCCTACCTAAATCACGCTTTGCTACATACTTTGTCTGCTATACAGTGCTTCCCAAAAGTCCCCTTCCCCCTCTTTTCTTTTGAACGGTGATACTTAGACTGATGAAATTTGGAGGATGAAAATGAACTATTGTAAGCTTCTCTACTGGTGGTAATATGTGACGTAATAGGCATCGGTGACATCACCAGGCAACCGATACCAATAATATTAAATAGGACCTTATTTTAACCATCAAAGACATCGTAAATTCAAAAAAAATAGTATAATTGAATAGGTATTCGAAATACCTTTCAAAGAGGTGTCACTTGATATAAGGTGCCATTTAATATTATTGGTTTGCCTGGTGACCACTAGTAGAGAAGCTTACAATAGTTCATTTTCACCCTCCAAATTTCATTAATCTAAGTATCACCGTTCAAAAGAAAAGAGGGGGAGGGGACTTTTGAGAAGCACTGTATACATCTATTGATGGTCTAAACTTTTCCTTACCCGGTGTAATTATTATTTATGTTCTCCTAAATTAGGCAATTGATAGTCTGTCACTTGCCAAGCTAGAAAAAAATAAATAAAAACAATTTATTTTTCAAAAAATTATTGCAATTTGTCTTATTATTAACCTCTATGTATTGTTTTTACTACGCCACTGTACTGAAATAATTACAGTAGCTTAAAATATTCAACCTTCTTAAGTATTTTCATAATATCACATTATTAATTTGTTTACATTAGCTTTTCTAGAAAGAATTGCTTATTAAAATGAGTATGAATGTCGATGATGAAATTAGAAAATCCATGTAGTCATATACCCCAGATTGCATTTGAATATAGAAAGGAAAAACCAAAGCCGTCGCCGATAATCATATTCATTTATGTATGTGCATTAAGAAATTAACATTATCAATTACTTAATAAATAAATTTAAGTATAGATTAATCTAGAGCCCGAATTAAATGTTTTCTTTTCAACTAGTTGAAAAAAGGTGTGCCTTAACACACTTATTATACGTTCCCTGTATTTAGCACTTATGTAAATCGAACTGCTTAATATTCGAGATATCGTGTATTAATCATACTCGGTAGTTAATTTGTTTTATAATTTACCATTATTGAAGTAATATTCTAATTTGCATAAGGTACATACACCTAATTATCTTAGACATGCAAATTCCTAAGTAGTGACTCTTTCAGAACAACCAATATAATATTATACTTATTACTTTATAAGGCATTTATTTTATCTTTTTCAATAACATGGCGGCCGTCAATTTTTACAAATTGACTTTAAGGTGCCCGTAAACGTAATGGACACATGAATTTCGAAAAAAAAAAATGAACTAGAAAATAGTATTAAGTATATGATATAACTATGAATACTAGAGATAAGTCTTCATAGATATAACAAAAAAAAATTGCGGGTTACGCATAAATAACAGAGAAATATTAAGTTAAATTTGGGTGATTCTAACCTAAAATTTTTCGATTTTCATGTAAGGCACATGCATAGATGCCAAACTTTTTAATTTATAACAAAATATAGATTAATAATTGACAGAATCGATTCAGATTAGGTACTTTTATGAATCGAATACATATTGAAACAATGCTCATATCACGCATGAAAAGGAAATTATTGGGAAATATATTTTTCTTAATAATCAAATTTTTTTTATATTTACGTTTTAGGCATTATCAAAAATATTACTTTTCAAATATACCACTGGAAACCCCACAGTACCTTATTTTTGGCGTAACATTTCCAAACACTTCAAAAACCACTAGTTTTATTAATTTATTTTGTTGTTTTTCATAAAAAACTTTACTTTTAATTTACTTTTAATTTCCAGTCACATCCAGTGATTTTTTT